GCAGAGAAACATTCAAAAGAAGGAAAAAGGTTATATTGTCCTTGTAACTCATGTCACAACCATTTTATGGTTGATAGCGTTAAAGAAATACGAATACATGTGTATCGCAAGGGTTTTGACCCAACATATCTCCAATGGAAATGGCATGGGGAATTAGAAAATCATTGCAGCTCTAGCTATACTCATAATTACCAAGTCGAAGATGATATTCACGACATCCACAATCTTGAGGTTGAAATAGAAGATGAGTTAGAGGCCACTCAAGATGTTCCTCCTGATAAAGTCGTCATTGATGAGGAGCGTGATATGTATGAGAGCTTAGTAGGAAGTTCAAAACGTCCATTGTATCCTGGTTGTACCAAGTTTACACGTTTGAAGGGGGTTTTGGAATTGTTCAATTTAAAAGTTGCAAATGGGTGGAGTGACAAAAGTTTCACGTCTTTATTAAGTTTGTTGGGTGAACTTCTTCCAGATGGACACGAACTGCCATCGTCTACTTATGAGGCGAAGAAAATGATGTCTCCAATGGGTGAGGGCTACAAGAAGATACATGCTTGTGTTAATGATTGCATTTTATATCGAAATGAGTTCGAGGATCTCAACGAATGTCCCAAGTGTTTTGCTCCAAGATACAAGGAGTCAAGCAAAATGACTCTTAACAAAGACAATATGAAAAAATCCAAAAAGACTCCGGTTAAGGTTTTGTGGTACCTTCCAATAAAACCAAGATTCAAGCGTTTGTTTGCTTCAATAAATGATGCTAAGAATCTAGTGTGGCACAGAGAGCAGCGAAAAGATAATGGCACCCTGCGCCATCCTGCCGATGCCCCACAGTGGAAGACGATTGACTACACATTTTTGGAGTTTGGGAATGAGGGGAGAAACCTTTGATTGGGATTGTGTACTGACAAAATCAATCCTTTTGGAAGCTTGAGTACGCAACATAGTACTTGGCCGGTACTGCTTGTCATTTACAATCTTCCTCCAGAGTTGTGCGTGAAGCGCAAATACATCATGCTATCGTTGTTAATACCTGGGCCTAAACAACCGGGTAATGACATTGATGTATTCTTAGCCCCAATGATTGATGATTTGAAGGAAATGTGGATTCATGGTCTCAAAGTATTTGATTCTTATCGTCAAGAGTGTTTCACGTTACGTGCTATGATTCTTTGGACAATCAATGACTACCCAGCATACGGTAACCTATCCGGTTATAAGATTAAGGGAAAATATGCATGTTCGATATGTGAGGAGAATACTTCTAGTGTGTGGCTAAAGAATGGAAACAAAACAGTCTTTCTAGGTCATCGCCGATTTTTAAGACGTCAACACCCTTATCGTCGCATGAGAAAAGCTTTCAATGGTCAAGCAGAAAATGAGGTTGCTCCAAAAGTATTGAGTGGCAAAGCATTACATGAAAAGTTGAAGAACATAAACCATACATTTGGTAAGACACAGAAAGTTGATCAAAACGGTCCTATTTGGAAGAAAAGATCAATATTTTGGGAACTACCTTATTGGGAGTGCTTATCTGTCAGACATTGTCTTGATGTGATGCATATAGAAAAAAATGTATGTGATAGTCTTATTGGCACCCTCCTAAATGTTCCTGACAAGACTAAAGATGGTGTTAATGCTAGAAAAGACTTAATAGACATGGGCATTCGAACTGAGCTTGGACCGCAAGAAAAAGGACATCGCACATTTCTCCCTCCTGCTTGCTACACACTTTCTAAAGAAGAAAAAATCACTCTTTGTCAATGTCTACGTGATATAAAGGTTCCTCAAGGGTATGCTGGAAACATTAGGAGTCGTGTGTCGATGAAGGATTTGAAATTGAACGGTCTTAAATCTCACGATTGCCATGTTTTAATTCAGCATTTCTTGCCAGTGGCAATTAGATCAATATTGCCAACGAATGTGAGGGGGGCAATAACTAGACTTTGTTATTTTTTTAACGCCATTTGTAGTAAGGTCATTGATGCTGAAATGTTGGATCAATTACAAGAGGAAGTGGTAGTCACCTTATGTGAATTTGAGATGTTCTTTCCTCCATCATTTTTTGATATCATGGTCCATTTAGTTGTGCATTTGGTGAGAGAAGTTAAACTTTGTGGCCCTGTTTTTCTTCGGTACATGTATCCATTAGAGAGATTTATGGGTATTTTGA